GGTCCTTCTCGGCGGCGCCCCGGCGAAGTGGGAGGCAGGGCGGCCGCCCGAGCGTTACCTCGCCTCGCCGGAGAGTCGCGCCGGGTTCGGTGGGAATTGCAACCGCGCGGCGGAGCCGGGCTTTGCAATTGGAGCCGGGGGCGGGGCTGCGTCCGAGGGAAGGGCTTCGGCAGCCGCTGGAGGTGGGCGATGCGGCGTCGAGGGAGCCTCGCGTAACGTTCCCTGCTCCGGGTCGCCGATTGCGGATCACCGACCCCGGATGCTGTTTAAGCCGCGGACCCGCAGAAGCGGGCGATGTGAGCCGTATCTGCGAGGTCACTCGACTTCAGCTGCGGCTTGACGGCGGAGAAAGGCTGAAAAGCTGCGGCCGCTTCCGCACTTGTCATTTTTATCGCTCGCTTGTCCCTATTTGCTCCAGGGTCCCCGCCATGTGTTTTGCTCTCTCTAATAGTCTCAGAGGGAGCGAAACACACGTGGGAAAGGGTGGAAAGCCAAGGAAATAGGAGGAAACGAGGGACAAAAGCGACACTGCGCGTTTACTACTGCAAGGGGGAGGGCGATCCGCAGTAGTGGCCGAGGCGGGGTAGTTACTCCGGGTCACCTACTGGGGTGGTTCTTTGCTTGGGCTAGGATGTTGGGGGGGGATCTTTTGCACCCAGACTGAGCTACTGCAGGGCCCCGATCCCTCGGAAACTAATCCGTGCGCCCCCTCCCTTTTCTCTCCCCCCCCCCCCCCTTCACGCCCCCCCCCCCCCCCCCCTCCCCCGCCACTCAGACACGACCAAAGCGAGAAGAGCAGCCACTGGAGAGCGCCAGGTGGGGTTCAAGAGGACTCCGCCTTCTCCTGAGGATGACTGGGTGCAGCCGTTCTTCTACTTCGAGGAGGAGGAGGAGAACTTCTACCTGGCGGCGCAGCACCGCGGCTGCGAGCTCCAGCCGCCCGCCCCGTCGGAGGACATCTGGAAGAAGTTCGAGCTCCTGCCCACCCCGCCGCTCTCGCCCAGCCGCCGCTCGGGCTGCTTCCCGTCGCACGCCGACCAGCTGGAGATGGTGACGGAGCTGCTGGGCAGCGACGCCGTCAACCAGAGCTTCATCTGCGAGCCGGACGACGAGGCCTTCGTCAAGTCCATCATCATCCAGGACTGCATGTGGAGCGGCTGCTCGGCCGCCGACAAGCTCCAGAAGGTGGTCTCCGAGCGGCTCGCCTCCTACCAGGCCACCCGGCGGGAAGGGGGCGCGGCCCTCTCCGCCCGCAGCGGCAGCAGTGGCAGCCTGCAGCCCTCCTCGCCGCCCCAGACGCCCGTCTCCGCCACCTCCTCCTCCTCCTCGCCCGGCAGCGCCTACTTGCAAGACCTGGGCGCCACGGCCGCCGAGTGCATCGACCCCTCGGTCGTCTTCCCCTACCCGCTGGGCGACAAGTCACCCAAGCCAATCGAAGCCGTCGCTGCGGCCGCCCCCAACGCCAGCCCGGCCTCCTCTTCCTCGCTGGGGGAAGACACGCCGCCCACCACCAGCAGCGACTCTGGTGAGTTTCAGCCTCTCTGTAGGATTTGGGGGGGGTGCGCAAAGGCCTTGCCCGTTAGTCTTGGAGGATGGGGGGGGATTAAATGCCCCATATTAGAGATTTGCTGGTTTACTGATTTATTTAAGCCGTTTGCATCCCAGTTTGCATCATTCTCCTTTGTTTTCTTCACACAACAGCCCTGTGAGGTAGGTTAGGCCAAGTGTTCACCCAGCAAGCTTCCCCCATCCCAAGTGGGGATTCAAACCTCGGTCTCATAAATACTAATCCGACACTCTTAACCATGCACACCCGTTTGTATCCCAGTTTGTATCATTCTCCTTTGTTTTCTTCACACAACAGCCCTGGGAGGTAGGTTAGGCCAAGTGTGCACCCAACAAGCTTCCCCCATCCCAAGTGGGGATTCAAACCTCGGTCTCACAAATACTAATCCGACACTCTTAACCGCACACACCACACTGGCTGCAGTGCACAGATAGTGCCATTTTGAGAGTATTCACTTGGGAGTAAGCCCTGCTTCAGTAGGACTTTATTTTGTTTAGTACAATCCAGCTCCCTGGGAAAAGTGCCCTTAGGTTTGCTCTTTTGGCAAAGTTCTAAGGTAAGTGGTGCGTGTAAAGTATATACAGGCAGTGGGAGAGGGGTGTTATTCAACTGCATTGTACTAGGACAGGACTGCTAATGAATTTTGGCTTACAAGGTAAAGAGAGATGTGGCGTCTAGGGTTAGTTACCTACCAGCTTGCCCCAGCTGGGACAGATTTTTTTTTTTAGGTGCTCAGGGAGTTGTTTGCTCCCCATGGGATTTCTTCTCTACTTCTCTGGCAGAAAGCACTCTGCACCAGAAGATGGTGCAGTTCAGCATCTGTTCCCCCAGTTGAAATGTTCCCACTGTGCAGATGGGAAGACTGAGGCTGTGCAAAATTATTGCTGGAGGCGGCACAGCCATTCCCAAGTGAGGAGGAGGGGCTTGAACCTACCTCTGTGGGGCCAAATGAAACCTCACAAGAGTTCACTGTCTGGGAGGGGGGGAGTGGGAGTAAAAACCCCTATGCGGCCCAGGCCTTTGAAAGTGACAGTCCCTGCAAATAAAATAGCAAAAGGCCCAGTAGCACCTTTGACTAACAAACTTTATCGTAGCATAAGCTTTCAAGAAGCACAGTTCTCTACATCTGACAAAGAGAGCTGTGTTTTTCGAAATCTTATGCTGCAATAAAGTTTGTTAGTCTTAAAGGTGCTACTGGGCTTTTTACAATTTTGCAACAATGGAGTAATACAGCTAACTCCTGGACCTGCAAATAAAGTCTCTAGTAAGAGCGCCCCCATGCGGAAGGGTATTTTAGTCTCCGCCTGGTTGTAAACATTTCAGATATCTTGCATCTTTGCTTTGCATTAATATCAGAAAGTTTAATCGGGGGGGGGGGGTT